ATCTGCAACAGCTAATCTGTTGACAACCCCAGGGGTTTTTTAATGGCAAATTGACATTCTGTTCCTCTACTGCACTGGTTTTGGTTTTGGTGCCTGCTAGCCAGGCTTTGCTGCGGGAAGTCGCGATGGATGAGCTGCAGAGCGGGCTCCACGTGGCGTGGGTCGGCTGCGTGAGCACTGGCTTCTGCAGGACTGCACCCGTCTGCTGGCAGCCTGAGTGCCTCGCTACGGAACTCATGCTAGTCTAAAAAAGAACTGACAACCAGCTAAACATGCTGGATCTAGATCTGGATCTAAATTCTGTCACTGTCACAGCTCTGCCTGTAGGAAAATTTCTAATTTATGGGAAAACTCTTTCAGTTCAGCTGCAAAGCCAGGAGAAAACCCAGCTCCTTTTCTGTCACCCATTTCTCAATCCCAAATAAAAGGAACCTACAGAAAAATGAGTTGTTTCGCCACTTGTGTGAATAGAAATGGAAAAGCCATTGTTATGCTCTTCATCCTGTATCCCCTAGTTAAACTCATCTATGTTTTCCCAAGGTAAAGTTTCTGGATGCCTTATAAGACTACCTGAAAGATATTGAATGCAAAAAGCACAAAGAGCCACCACGGGGTATTGTCACTTGGGTTTTGAGGTTTTTTGGCCATTTACCCTTTCTATCCTGTCTACAGCTCCCACAAGCTAGCCCGACGTCTGTGGTTTCAGTACCTGCTGTGCAGAGAACCCATCTGACTTCCCTGAACAGCCACTTCCAAAAGATAAAACACACTCTTTGTATCCTCAAGGGGAACGTTAACACTTCTCAAATCCCATATAAAAATGATTAAAGGTAATTCTGTACTTTGCAGAGATTTTAAAATATACCAAACGGGTATTGGGAAGAATTTGGCTAAATGAATCTGTAAGAAAGCAGAGTGGGGAGTAATGTGACATCTGCTGTTGGCATTAGTTAAGTGCAGACACAGCCTTTAGATCTCCTCACCTTGTCTGAACCAGCAATTTTTAATTGAGACACAACACTGGAATGGGAAAACCACCCTGAATTTAAGTGTTTCCATCTGGGATTCAATAAAACAGCCATGCTACCAGCAGAGCCTCGCCAAACACTAGATTATCTTTTCCTGTTGACAATTAACATCTGAACTTGCTTCTAACAACAGTCACAAGATTGACTCATATTAATATAAGTGAAGATTAAATAGAGGGAAAAAAAGGCAGTGAGCTCATCAAAATCCTCCATAACGTGTCGTGAATCTTTAGTGTTTGTCTTGATGGTGCAAGGACAGTATGAGCTCCAGCTTTTCCTGGATAACTGAACAGGAAATGGTTAATACAGTAAGTTTTTAAGATGGATTTTCACCTCTGCAGATTGTATCCTTTACTACAACAAAAGTCCTCTATGAGCATACTTTTCTGACCGCATTTCTGAGGAAAGGAGCTGCCGAGCACAGGGGCTGACGCTGGCTGGAGCAGAGGTAGCAGCCCACTGTCCCAGCTTCTCAGTTTATTTTAAATGGGGATATTTGTCCATATTCGCCTGACATAGTTGTTGGCCAAAAGTTCATCTTGTTGATTCAGTAAAGTCTCCTGCTGAGCTAAATGGGAATCCTGCCTGGAAAAGGACTGCGAAACTGGCACCCGCCCGAGTGGGATAAATCATGCCCCAAGTAAGAACGCCTGGGTTTTACCCCAAGGCCCACGTGGCCTCGCATTTGGATTCGTAACAACTGCTGAAGCCTTCACTGGTGCTTGCTGCCAGTGGGCAAGTTCTGGGACCAGCCCCGGGCTGGACCCTCACACTGTGCCTCCCCAGCGACCCCCCCCCGACAGGTTTACCACGGACCAGCTGTGCAGGAGGAAACCCTGTGCAGATCCCAGAGGTGACACATCCTCCTGCGGTGCACTGAGCAACACGGGAGGCACAGCACACGTTTACAGAGGGGAAAACACACCCTGTGCCTCGGGAGCTACCCAACTGTGCTGGGGAACAGGCAGTCTAGAGAGGGAGTTTTCCTGGCTTCTCCTCAGCAGGAGATCATTATTCTGCAGAGCTGAGAAAGCACAGGCAGGTAAAGAGTGCCTTTGGCAGGGCCTGGTTCATTTACCTTTACTGCAGTGGCTGCTGCAGTAGAGAGAACGGCTCCTGGGAATAGGGGTCGGCTTTCCAATGGAAGCATGGAATGCTTCTTAACCTTTGCCTTCAGCTCTTGCACGAAAGTGGATGCAAATTCCGGGACTGAAAAGCGAATAGGTCCGGTAGGTCAGTAGGTAAGGCAGGCATCCAAAGTTTTTCTAAGGCTAACAGCAGAAAAGCAAGAATATTGGGAAAAATGGCTAGAAATGTGTATGGTAAGAGCATTGCAATTCCAAGAACGATGCGGTGGAGTTTGGTCTGTAAAGAAACAGAGCAACGCTCTTCTTCCTAAAGACACATCACTGTGGTGTAGTCTGCGAGGGGCCACTCCAGGACTAGTGTCTCATTTTAGACAATCTTCCTTTCCACCATTCCTGAGGAAGATAAGAGAATCCTCACTTTTCTGATGTCAGTACTTCCTGCAGTAAGCCAAAGAAATAATAGGAGAAACAAAACACAATCAATGGAATCACGTTAATTAAGGTACCGGAAATTTGGGATATTTAAAACTACGAGTCTGGACATAACAGTATTTTTATGAAATCCTCTATGAATTAAAGCGTTTGACCGCATCTCTCCTGCCCCCAGGAGACCAGTTAGAGATTCACTGCTAAATCCTCCACAACACCAACTGCAGAGCAGAAAACGCCCCCGGTCACACCCCCCTGCTCGAGCAGAATGCGCAGCGTCCTCGAGGGCCGGAGCAAGGACTTCGCGAAAGGAGGTACCTACATCAGCACCTTTTCACACGGCCTTTCCACACTCGGCCGCTGAAGCGCCGGCACGGTACTCAGACAAGCCACTTGTAACGGGTTTCCTGCGCACAGTTTGCTCGTGCTACGGTGAGGGAAAAGGTTATAAACAGTTCAGTGCACAAGTCCTGCCCCGGCAGCTGCCTACAGAGCCAGCGCGAGCTTTACGGGATGAGCCACATCCCTACGGGCAGGAGAAGCTTAATTAGCCACCTCGCAAAACACAACGTCTGGGTATTAGAACCCAACGTCCTCCAGAAAGTATGCGAGTCTTTATACTTACCTGAACAATTCTGGTTTTAATTAGGCCTCATTAGTGAAGGTAATCACTGTGATTTATTTGCACAAACAGAGGACGCGGTGCTCCACGTTCTTCGTCAAGAGGAGCGAGAACCCTGCGTGCCAGGGCAGACGCGGTCTCCTAGCCCAAAGGCAGCCGGACTACGAAACACGGCGCTAAAGCATTTTGCTGAATAAACTCAACTCATCGGGGATGACCATCTGCAGCAACAGACCAAAGCAGAAGGTCGCCTGGGCTCTCGAATCCACTTCCGAGAGGAAACTGAAGTTTCCTGCACGTTTTCACCCCACTGCAGGTACCAGTTACACACAGAGACCACGTCCGACGGCTTCGTGCACCAGGCCTTGGCCCTTAAAGGCCTTGCCTCTGCGGCGCTTCCCACAACTCCCAGTGACATCAGAAAAGGCGGGCCCTGGCCAGCACAGAAGGACCTTGTCAGCACCTTCTAGTGGCCCTAGGAAGGTATTTTTGGGAAAACGTGCAGAACTAAGGGAAGAGTGAAAAAAAACGTGTGCTGAGCCTTCGAAACTACTCATCCCTGTATCAGGAGGAGGAAAGCTTTCCTTGGAAGAGGCCCCGCACTCTGTCTTACCAGGTGGTGTTCACGTAAGCCGCCCGAGGAGTGGTTCAGCTCCTGAAGGCTACGAACAGCTCGTTCCATGGACTCGAGAGGCGAACGCTGGCGTAACCTGCGGTAAACCCAAGGAAAGGAAATCCCTGGGATTAAATCCCTGAGGAAACAGCACTAAGAGACCGGCACTTTGTGAGCTTTCTCATTTCCAAGGTGGAGGGGGGAACTGCTACCTACGTAAGTAACCTCCCTCCCCAGCATGAGTTGAAGTAAGTCTGTATCCTTTTCCTTGCCTTTTTTAAGAATTAGCAAGCGCTTACATGAAGAACAACCAGTTTTGCTTTCTGACTCCTTACGTCTCACAAACTAGACTTCCCATGAAGATTGATTGTGACCCAAGCAAGTATCAAATCCACTACCTGAACAGTTTAAAATATGATTTTGCTTCAATACTGAAGTTTTTGTTTTAGTAACTAACTCCATTAAAATAGCAAGATGAGAAAAACAGAACGCCTCTCAAAATTTAAGGAAAATTTAATCAATATGCCTTAAGTTATTTTACAGTAACTACAATACTGACAAGCATAATGTTTTCAAGATGCTGTCCTTCTTGGAAGTACTGCGAAAGAGATTCACTCTTCACCTACTAGTATGTGCACCATTAGGAAAAGAAACTCTAGTTGAAGTCATCTGCAGAAATCCAAGTCAACACAGAGCTACGTAGACATCCAAATGTATTCCTGTTTCAAGTGTGACAGAATGACAGATCCCTTTAGCTTTTAAGCATCTGTTTTCTAATTCATAATTTATCTTAAACCCTGAAACACCATCACATCAAGTGAATGAACTAATGAGACAAAAGCCTTAAGAATATATTTGTCAAAATACAGAAAATACTCTAATTGCTTGTGCTCATTTGTGCATTCTGCTTTTGGTAAGAGGAGACAGTTTTGTCATTACTGCAGATTTCTTCAGTGTCCCTGATCTACGGCATCCACAGTTCTGTTAAATTTGCTCATAAAAATCTATCGATTTAGAACTGCAATCCTTCTTCCTCCCTCCCCTAAAAAAAGAACCCCAAACCCCTAACAAAAACCCCAACCCTCAAATAAACAACTTTTCTAAAGACATAGGAATGGGAAAGAAATTACACTGACTTGATAGGCATGGACACTTATTAAAGCTATGGACACCTCAGGTCAACTGAAAACAGTATTCAAAGTCCTAAAAAAGTGAACACGAGACATTTGTTTTCATTGCACCAGATGACTGAAAACAGGTCTATTTTTTGACAGCAACACTAGACAGTTGTTCGCAGCTGCTTCTGGTCCAACTAAAGGTTCCAAGTTGTTTTCGTTTTGGCCCACAGGAGTCCAGCGGCTTGGACAGTCTCTTCAAAACACCGAGATGAGAGCGAAGACGCCGTACAACAAAGCGCAGGGGTATGCCACTAGCAGCTGTTGTCCTTCCATGGCTAAGGCAGAGATAAAGATTTTGGAAGCAGAAAAACTGCACCAGCCGATGATCCCAACCGTGACAACAGTCCCCATCACTCCCCTGTAAAGGCAGAAACAAAACCAGATTCACTGCGACTTATGTTCACGTGCTTTTAGGAGTCATAACTGTTCTCCTCTACCACCCTGCACAGGTTCTAGGATGAGTTTCAGCTTTTATCTTTCACTTTTTAAATGAAACAGTTCCAGTGAAGGACTTAGAACGGTATTATTCAATTCTGGCAGCATAAAACCCCCCCACAATAACTTTGTGCATATGAAACATAGAAGTGGTGAGTAAAGTAACATTAACAAGTTCTTTCTTTTCAGCTCCCAATTTCACACAGCTATGAGCAGCCACACTGATATCCTTCTCTTTCCCAAATTCAAATTGGCATCTTAAACTATAATTACACTTAGACTATACAGGGGGTGAGATGTGCCACATGCAAAGCCGACTGAAAACACACCCGGCACCGTTACGGGAGTCTCTGTATTTACAAGCCATTAAAACCAGCAGTCACCCACCGCTCATCCCGCACACCTGAAGACTGCCGATACGCGTGGCCCTATTCTCACTCCCCTACTCCAATTATTTGCAGCTTCACCACCAAGTATGAAAATTCCTTAATAACTTCCTTCGCCACCTCACAGGAGAGGACTCTATTCCCAAATCGTGAAGTGTATGGACTTACTGCAACGAAAACACAATGGCGAAAGTGGAAAGCAGGATCATAGGAAGAAGACAGTATCCAAGGACACTGGCGACGCAGCCAAAGGAGACACCCGTTATGCTCATCAAGTTCAGGAGACAAAACATCCCGAAACATCCGATTGCACTTATTCCATACACATAACCAAACTGAATTTTGCCAGCCTGGAAGTCAAGCAGAAACATGACCGTGAGTCACCAAAACAAGTAACACTCCACAAACGGGGGAAGAAAGAATGTGTAGTCTCTTCATTTTCTCTGTATCCCCCATCCCCAGTTTCTGCACTCAGATCCAACAGGCAGTATTTTCCCACTGCCTGAATTCCAAGACATCTGCATGTCTAGGCAGCCAAGAGGCACGTTTATCCTCACTTCACCGACCTTGCTGGGCAGATTCTGATCGAATTGTTGAGCTTTGATCTGGGCTGCAAAAGCCTATCAATTCTTTCAGGTTTAGTCAACGAACTTCCCAGGACAATTGATAACTTGCAATAATCGTCTTTACAGAACTAGTGTATAAAGACAAAAAATATGTAATTTGGGAACTTCTTGACAAACCCAGAGCTGAAGTCCTTCAACTAGTGACAGACTCCACAGAGTTGCAGCACAATGTAAATTATAAACAATTCCCAGAAACAGCTGAGGCTGAGCTGTACAGCACCGTGTATGCACAGCAGCGTTAACTCCTGCCAATTCTTCCCGCAGAGGGTGGGAGCACTGGGACAGGTTGCCCAGAGAAGCTGTGGATGCCCCATCCCTGGAAGTGTCCAAGGCCAGGCTGGATGAGGCTTGGAGCAACCTGGGCTATGGAAGGTGTCCCTGCCCGTGGTAGGGGGCGGGACTGGGTGGGCTTTAAGGTCCCTTCAACCCAAACCCTTCTGGGATCCTGTGATTTTAAAATGTCAAAAATGAGAACTTTACTTACTAAGAGGTATGCAGGAAGCATACACGCGTTATTTCAACATACACGTATCCTAAGCCACCATCTGTTTTCCCAGCAAGAAAGGCAACAGTGCCCACCCCTGCAGAACACGTGGCTGCGCAGCTGCTGAAGCAGCTTCAAGGTCTGCCTCCTGCTACAAATTTCCAAACTAAGTTTCCTTATAACCCAGCTCCCTCCTGCCTCAAGCGCCTCAGTAAACAACCATTTCTGCTTCCAGCTCTTTGCTAGGCTAAGCTTGTTTCCTTTCATTGCACTCAATGTATTTAAAGGAAGAAAGCAGACAGGAGGAAGCAATTTCTTGGGAAAAGAACATTCAAACATATCTATTATAAACATGTTCTTTAATTCTGCTGGCCTCGTTTCCCTAAATAAAGGCTACTTATGAAAGTAGGCTTAAAGTCCCTTGGTACCAAACCACAGTGTTCTGTGTCACAGAAAAGTGGAATTTCAGGCAAAAATGAAATGTGGCGCCTGAAGACATGCGGAGAAAAAACTTATTAAAGATGCTGAAGCTTTCGGTGAGAAGGAAGAGTCTTTGCTGCCATTTCGTCATTGACACTTCTGAGTCCTTAAAGCAAAATCTTAATTCAATTAAGTCAACTAAAAAACCCACCAGGCTTCAACAACTGCTGAGCTATTACTAAGTATAAACAATTTGAAAGCAGGTTTACTTCCGAAGTGTTTTTACCAGACTGACTCGATACTGAAAGTCATGTCTAATGTATCAGCATCACCCAAGCAAAAACACTTTTTACTCATCAATTTTGAGTTTCCTCGCCTCTTGGATATCAGGAAAGAACAATTAATAGAGTATGGAGCAAAGAAATACAATGAAACAGAGAAATAGGCTCAAATACTAAACAAAGAGGACTTAAAAGAAAAATGAAACTCCTAACTAAAGAAATTAAATAAATATTGAAATATTTAATGTGCCCATTGCTCTGATTCCTGGTAAGAAGGAAGGTAACAGCGACACTGTAAAAAGACGAGGTGTGATTCTGAAAGTAAAACGTCTCAATCTATGAAAAACCCCAAACAGGTGAAAATCTGAGAACACGGGTCAGGCCCTGTGACAAAAGGGAGTCATATGTCTCAAAAGCAAAGCATGAAAAGAAATATGAATGACACTGAAATAATGCAAAAAACAAGCACAAAGCCTTGGACTCAAGCCCCACTGAAGCGAGTGAACCTTTTCCAACCCGTGTTGCGGGAAGCCCCAGCTCCTCTTCCATACAGACACGAGTTCGTGCTCAGGATGTGCTTTTGCAGCCTCCATGCCAAGACGCCATTCCAATAAACCTGCACGTAACCTGGCTTTTTCCCCAGGGTTTCCAAGAATATTAATGCACAAACAGTAGTATCGTGCAATCAGTATCTTACCAGTAATAGCGTAGCGCCAAACGTTAGACAGAAGACCATTGGTCCAGCCAAGTCAGTCTCATTCATGATGCTGCCATCTGCTGCCTTTAATGGGTGTAGCACCGTCAGCGTCTTCTGCCAGATGTGGTCAAAATTGATTCCCAATTCTACAAGTTACATGAAAAGAATTATGCATATTTACTTCATTTTCCTCCCTTCCTATCGCCCCCATTTGCTTCATTCTTAGTTTTCCCTGCTTCTCCCCTTTTAGATCTCCTCCAGATACCATCCTATGGGGACTGCAGAACTGAGGCATCCCATCTTTCCTCAAGCTGCTCAGTGTGCTGCCTCCACAGATTCCAGGTCTCAAACGCCTGGAAGGGACAAAGAGGTTTCTCTAGGAAGAGGTAAGCGTGTAAGCGCAGCGTTCTGGGTCAGCCCAAACCCTCGTTTAGCCCCTACCCCGTCCCTCTAAGTGGCCAAAGGCAGGTATGTACAAAAAAGTGCAAGCCTAGCACAGGCAGATTCCCCAAGTCTCCAACGACTGGCGGCTCAAAGACTTCTGATTCAAAGTGGTTTCCTCCTTCATAAACCAGCCATTGTTCTCACCAAAAAACCCACCTGCCCTTTTTAGCGCCCAGTGTCTCACGACAAGGCGCTTCACAGCTCCCTCCAGCTCAGTAAGGATTCAAGTGTCCCTCCACCGAGCATGACTGCACCTCTGCGCCCAAGCCCGCCTCTGAAGGCAGCTACCGCCTGCCCACCGGCTCTTCGCCGGCTCTGGCGACCAGCAATGTAAACAAAGCAAGTTTTTGAGGAATACAAAGCAGAGCAGGGTGGAAGGCATTGTGGATAGGGACAGGCGGTAGGCATGAGGAACACCACTCTAACCAGTAACAGCAAGGGATTCTTTGGCTGGTTGGTGCTGAGCAATGGGGGGTAAAGCTGGAAACCCAAACCATCAGTCCAGACAGCAGCCACACATCCGTTCTGCACCAGCGTTGCTGCCGTGTTTAGCATTCCTCTTTAGCAGTGAGCAATCCCAGTTCCAACCAAAGAATCAACAGCAACTACCCGTATTGATTTATTCTACAAGAAGTGGGCAACTGTCAGCACTATTTGCAACAACAGAAGTACGAAGTGGTTTGTCACAGGAGCGGTATGAGGCCAGGTTATCCATTTAACTGCTTACATCTTCCACAAAACTGGTGTGAAGTAGTACAGCACAATTCTACAGCTGCAGAAGGTCACACAAGACCAAGTATTTCATATACCAAAATGCAGTTAAGTAAAAAAAAAAAAAAGGAAGAATTCCATATTCAGGAAATACACACCCTGCTACTCAACTATGCCCCAGACTGGGAAGAGTCTGGGCTTTGGGCCATAAAACATTAAGTTATACCTTCTAATAGAGGAGGCTCATCCTCAAAATTACTCCCATAAAAAGAGTCTGCTGAAGTCGGAGTGTATGTCTGCGTGGGCTGGTAAATCTGCCCTGTGTAGGGCTGCTGCTGCATCATGTCCGAAGGGATAAATCCACTCTGTTGGGAGTATTCGTAGCCTCCATACTGCCTAGAAAGAATGACATCGCATTACGGACACATACAGGACTTCATTTTGAACACCTCCCTGCAAAAGCAAAGCTGCTTTTCACTACACCACAGCAAACAATCCTTCTTCCTTCTTTTTTAAAGACTCACATTAGACGATCCCCTACTCAGAACGAGGCCGCGTTCATCAATTCAAACCCTTCTGAACAACACCGCTAAGCTAAACAAGGTAATCCCTTCCACACGCGCTAGCACCGCTTTTGGGTTTTAAGTCAGAGGCCTAGAGAAACGAGCGTTCTCCATGGACTGAATTACTAGGACAAGCAGTGGAACTGTGAATGAGTAGGAAAATTCTACATCTCGAGCTTATTCAAATATTGCCCATTAATTACTACTGACATCTCATTTGTTGTCAGCATTAATTTGCTATTTTCAATATTTACTTGCAAGCTCACTGTTAGTGAACAAAGTTGCTCATACTATCCCTTTTGATACCCTCTGTATTTACTGAATGAGCCTAACTAAAAATACCCGAAAACCTCTTTTCCTCTTCACTTCAGCACCATGTGTAGCAGGTAGCATTATGACACAGCACCGTAATCCTTCTCAGGACACAAATAGGCACCAACCTGCCCCATCCGTCGCAGGGATCACACAGGTCACCTATCTGACCAAAATACTTAGCCCGTGGCTGGATATTCACAGAGGAAGCCTAACAGCTCCCCTGGCCTAGGAACATTCACCACGCTTCCTTACGAAAGCCTAGAAACCACTACTGACACTGCAGGCTCATTTACACAGAATCACAGAACGGTTTGGGTTGGAAGGGACCTTAAAGACCATCCAGTTCCAACCCCCCTGCCACGGGCAGGGACACCTTCCACTAGACCAGGTTGTTCACATGACACTGTAACTAATTTTTACTCCCTGAGTGAGTGACTGGAGATGGACATATGGAGCAACAATAATTCATCTGACAAAAGGTGTGAAGAATGTTTATGTAATTAAATTACTCTATAATCTGCCTCAATTTTCTAATTTTTGCCTTAAAAGGTATTCAGCATGCGACTGCTTTGTATCACCATTTGTAGAACGTAAGTTATGCTCTTCACAAAACAGACCAACAGGAATTCAGTCACAGCCAACAACCGCTGGCTGAGATGCCAATCGTTTCCTGCATAAACAGACCACCCCAGAAGCATCTGAACTCAGGCTCGGTCGCTAGAGAAGCGTGACGGAGCGGCTTTACGCAAGGCACGCGTTACACAAGTTCGAAAGGCATGCACAAGTACTTGCTGTACGGTCCTCCACTGTAATCATAGGACTGTGCAGGGTCATCGATACTGTAGCTCGTCTGGAAGAAGTCTGTGTTGAAGCTCTCAAACCCAGACATCGCCAGTTATCTGCAAGAGAACGGCGCGGTTTGCTCGGGTCTCCAAACCCGCCCGGGGAGGGAGCGCTTCACACCGACCCAGCGGCTCCCTCCGCTCG